GACCGGCCGGAGCGCCGCGGGGAGGGCGGCGAACCCGGCTGGGCCCCGCTCTCCCCGACTGGCCGGAGCACCGCGGGGAGGGCAGCGAACCCAGTCGCGGCCCTGCTCTCGGGCCGGAGCACCACGCCGCGCCGCCCCCCTCCAGGCGCTGCCCCAAGCACATGCTTGGTGGGCTGGTGCTTGGAGCCGGCCCTGAGCACAGGCCAGGTGCTGCAATGTTTGGAATGCAAACACTGAAAGAGAATATGTTTGGTTTCTTAAAATTGTTTCCACAGAAATTAAAAATCTTAATGGAAATATTTTTGGTGGTGTTCTAAAAATTGATTGTTACAACATGTAGGGCCAGATCCTAAGCTGCTGTAAGTCAATGCTACTCCAATGTACTGATTTATACTACTTGAAATTTTTAAATTTTAGGCCAAAAGTTTAAAGGAAGACACGACTCTTCTTTTTGCCATTTACATCATTTCCACTCAAATGCCTATTTACCATAATCCCACCTAACTAATCAGTTCACACAGCCTTTTAATTATGCACAAAAACCTTTTTTTAAAATAATGAATTCTTCAGGGCAAGACTATATTGCTTTAATAAAACATGGTGTTCAAAGTATTTCCACGTGGTAGAATTAACTGCATGCAATGGCTTTCAGGAAATGAAGTCTGACTTTGGGTAAAGTCTCACACAGTGGGCTGAGAATGGCAGAGAGATTTTCTGAGTAATCCTAGACAGCAAATTTTCCATTTTTGATAGTGGTACCGTAGCGATTCTATAGTTGATATAACTAGCTTATTCTTAAAAGTGACCTGAAGAGAAAAAGGAAATGGACTTGTGCTTTCTTTTTGCTTTTTTTTTTTAAATGTACAAGATGACTGAAAGGCTGGGGCGTGGAGTTGTTTGATTTCCCCCCTCAGCTTGTTTTTTGCCTTAAGACTATCAAATCTTAAGGCTGGTCCGCGCACAAACTGCCACCCAAACCTAAACTGGTTTTAATTAACATCTTCTAATATTTTGTTTCAAAAGTTTATGTATGGACATTCTTATTTTGAAATACAAGTGTCTTATTTTGATTTAGCATAAGTCAATTCCTTTCTCACTTAAATTTAGGCCTGCTCTACTGGTTTAAATAAAAGTGTAATTTTAAACTGATTGAGTTATATCAGACACACTTATAACAGTTTAAACCTAAGTTATGTTGGCTTAGCTTGCACATGTAAATTTAGAGTATTTAAAAGTAAATTTACTTTTACTCTGAAATCAGAGTGTTCTCACACAGAACTTGCACCAAAATAACAAAAGGTGCAAATTACAACAAATTTAGTTATTTTGGTGTAAGTTTGTCTGTAGACCAGCCCTCGGTCAATGAGAAACAGGTTCAACTAAACTCAGAAAAGGCATTCAAAGGGAAATAAGTGTCTACACAGGAGTTTGCACCACTTTAACTTGTGCAGACCACCCCTTTTGCAGTCTGAATAAAAAAATTCTCCTTGTACTTATCCAGGGTTCACCCTGCTTGGTATCAAGGGGATGTCATAATCCTACTTTCTCTACTCATTCACACAGGCTTCCTGAAAAAACAAGACCAGACTTTAATGAAAAAATCATTTTTTAAAATTTTCTCCATCAACCCCCTTCACCATCCCTCCCCTCCAAAAAAATCCCTAAACCCAAACACCCAACTTTCAGGTCTTCTTTATACATCATGAGGAGCAAAAGACCATTTAAAAAACCCTTTGTAGGTCACATTTATCTTCTCCTGTTCCCTGGAGTTTCCCCTGTAAACTGAAGCATCTTGACTGATTGATGATCATCTTTGTTTCTGACCCCAAAATGAAACTACAAAGGTGTTGGCATTTATCTGGTACTGGAGAGGGGTGGCTACAGTTTTTTGTCTCCCTGCTTAATAGTAAAAGTAATACTTGGCATACTTTTTTATATCTCTTTGAAAAAAACCCAAATCCTGAGCTTTTTTCTCAGTTTATTCCACCTCTTTACCTCACACAAAGTTCTTACTCTGCCTTTGTTGAGACGTTATATGAGGAAAGACCAAGATTTGATGCAGTATTTTGGGATTATGATAAACTAATTTGTTGGACTCTAGGGTCTTGTGTTATTTGTAGATTTGATGCTCACCACTGCAGCATCTAGCCACTGTACAAAATTTAAAAATTTTAAAATATAAACACATGTACAATCTTCAAAGAGTGGAAAATCCCACCCTTTTGATCCTTATTGGATCTTCCTGGCTGAAGCATCAATAATTATGTGAAAGCTAGACTGGAAAGGTACATGGGAGTTAGGGTGCACGGTGCAGGCTGGGGAAGGGGGTTGGGGTGCAGGAGGCGATGCAGGGGGCGAGCTCTGGGAGGGAGTTTGGGTGCAGGGTGCAGAGTCTGGTCTGGGGCAGGGGGCTGGTGTGCGGGAGAGGGTGAGGGGTGCAGCGCTGACCTTGGGGCTCCCGAAAGCGACCCGCACACCCCTCTGGCAGAAGCTCCTAGGCCGGGGGCTGGAGGGGTCTCCATGCGCTGCTGCCCACAGGCACCGCCCCTGCAGCTCCCATTGGCTGCAACTTGGGGCGGCGGCAGCGTGTGGAGACATGCTCCCCCCCAGGGGGCGCAGGGACATACTGGTCACTTCCGAAAGCAGAGCAGGCAGGCAGGAAGCCGCCTTAGCCCTGTTTGTGCTGCCGGTGGAGAGACCCAGCCCTGAACTTTGGTGGAGCTGGGCCCCCATGCTCTCATATTGGTGGAGCACGGGCACCATAGGCCTATACAACTCGCCGCCCCTGCTGACAGGAAGAGTGCCTCAACTGATTTCAGTAATCACAATGAGGCACCAAAGAAGGGGCAGTGCTAAGACCAGTCTACATATGGCCTCAATTCAGCAATCAGGATAGCTACTCCGGTGCTGTCTCTAAGGCCATGACTACACTAACTGAGGATAGACGCTGCTGCGATCGATGCAGCAGGGGTCGATTTAGTGTCTCTAGTGAAGACCCGCTAAATTGACCGCAGAGTGCTCGCCGGTCAACTCCAGTACTCCACTGGAACGAGAGGAGTAAGGTAAGTCGATGGGAGAGCATTACCCATCAAGGCAGCGCGGTGTAGACACTGCAGTAAGTCGACCTAAGCTACGTAACTCTTCTTAACCATAGTGGTTATACTGCGCTTTTGTGATGCAAAAGTCACTTCACCACAAACATAGCAGAAGTTATCTGCACTGTTCACACAAGTACGAGGCATCTCTGCTCACTTTGGCTAAACAGAAATGTATCCCTTTGCAAAATCAGACACTGACAAATAAGAGAGCACAACACTGTATGATTTCTAGAGCTGTTATAGGGCAATTTGTTCAGCAGAGTGATGTAAGCTTCGTTATGATTGCATCATCCATGACTTCTAGGAATAACATGATGCAATTCATATCGTGTATGACACAATACCAGCTTTAGATTGCATCATTCATTTTTTTGCCTAAAAAGCAAGTACTGTCCAAACCCAGTCATAAATTTATTCATAGATCCAGTCAAAGATGTATTTTAGTCATTTCTGGTTTAAATTGAGATCCCTTCCCTTTATAACTCACTTATCCTCCGCCATTCCCAAGTCAAGGGTCGTATATACTGACCCAATAGCATATCTTGAAAACTAGAGCCAATCAACAATTTTAAGCATCATTTTCGTTCTCAGTGACCCAGTATTAGTAAAGTTTGACTACATTTATTTCAGAAGCATTTTGGCTGTAGAGCAGTGTTATCAGCAGAAGAAAAAAAACTTTTGTAGTGAAAATCAGGATTGCCCATTTCCAACAGTTGACAAGAAGGAGTGAGTAACAGTAGGGGGG